GGACGCAGCCACAGAAAACCGTGTGGAGGGGGGTGGTTTTGGGGCTGCATGCCCCTGGAATAAACCCCACTGAGCTCCTGGGGCTGAGTCCCACTGCGGGGCAGTTCCTGCTCTCCTCACTTCTTTTTTTAATCCCTTTTTTTGCTGCTGCCAGGAGAGGTTTCCCGCTGGCGATCGGCAGCTGAGCAGCGCGCTGCCTGCTATGGCTGGTGAGTCTGGGCTCGGAGAAACCCCCTGGCTCTATCCCCTCCCTCCCCATGGAATCATGAGGGCGCCCACGGGTGGTTTTGGGGGCCCAGGGGGAGATCCCGATCCACAGCCCCCCCCAAGACCTCACCGTGGTCCCTCCGAACTCCGCAGGCTGGTTTAGGCGGCTCCTGCACAAGCCCAAGCCCAGCTCTGTGGAGAGAAGCAGAGCAGCTGGCATTGAGGCTGCATCCTCACCTTCCTCCTCCTCCTTGGCCGAGAGCGCTGGCTACTCTCCCAGCACGAGCCTGACCAGGTCCGTCCGCCCGTCGGCCACCTCGACGTTGCACATCCACGCTGCACAAGCCCAAGCCCAGCTCGGTGGCGAGAAGCAGAGCAGCTGGCATTGAGGCTGCATCCTCACCTTCCTCCTCCTCCTTGGCCGAGAGCGCTGGCTACTCTCCCAGCACGAGCCTGACCAGGTCCGTCCGCCCGTCGGCCACCTCGACGTTGGACATCAACGCCTCGGGCAGCGCCCGGTGGGCCAAGAGCTACGACGTCTGCATCTGCCACAGCGAGGTGGACCTGGAGCTGGTGGAGGAGCTGGTGTCCTACCTGGAGGGCCAACCCGAAAGCTTCCGTTGCTTCCTCCAGCTGCGGGACGCTGTGCCGGGCAGAGCGGTGGTGACGGAACTGTGTGACGCCGTGCAAAACAGCCACTGCTGGGTCATGCTCATCACCCCCGGCTTCCTCCGGGATCCTTGGTGCAAGTACCAGATGCACCAGGCATTGGCCGAAGCTCCGCTGGCCAACGGGCGCACCATCCCGGTGCTGAAGGACTTGGAGCGGAAGGATTATCCCAGGGAGCTGCGGAACCTCTACTACATCTACATGGCGCTGAAGGAGAACTGCTTCCGGCAGATCAGAGACACCGTCGTGCGCTGTGAGTACGCTGCTGTGATTCATTTATGTCGTTGATTATTTTTTTTTTTAGATTGATAGGTTGCTAATGAGGCTCATCTGCCTCTGCAGACCTCCAGGAGCTGTGCCGGAGCGGGACGGAGTAGCGGTGATGTCCCTGCGGCGTTTCGGAGCTGCGGCTGTGTCCCGATGGATCCGAGTGGGCTTGGCTTCGTCCCCGAGCCTGGGAGCTGATGACAGGGAGGACCCCACAGCGGCGCGGTGACGTCCTGGTGACGCTACCACCGTCGTGGGTGTGGGGACGGGGACATCCTCCGGTGCTCCTCGCTGCTGGGCCCACCAACACTACGCTCCCACGGCAGGGGGGGGCTGGGGGCTTCAAAGCCACTTGCGGTGGCGAGGATCAGTCCTGCAGGGGGGTGCTGAGCCCCCCGAGTAAGCTGACACGGTGCTGGGCTGCGAGGAGGAGGAGGGGAAGGCGCCCGGTGGTGTCTTTG